CGAGAAAAAGTTAGAATCTATTGTTGGGAAATAAGTTCACATTAAATAACCATCAATACTAAGACACCTATGGCCATTTATTTTGTAGAATATTTGGCAAGGGCTTCTGGGAGTGCTCCAAACACGTCACCAACTAATGTCACGGGTCACCCAGCTCTATCCATCAACGTCGGCTTCAGTGATGGCTTACCAGTTGGTATGATGATTGTAGGGAGAAAGTTTGACGAGATCACTGTTCTGAATGTCGCATACGCTTACGAGAAGATCAGAGATGCGGAAAAATAAGATTACAAGATGTCTATAAATAGACTCAGAACTACGAGATTTTTTTCACTCTTGAAAATTCTTGACTGACATTGTCGCACCAAAATCTTGTTCGGTAATCTCTTATTGTTCATTTCAGTTGGAAGATAATACGACTTCAGAATCAGTTTGGAGGGACAACTTCTATGAAATATATTTAATTTCCTTCTACTAGAGAGAAGTTCTAAAGTTCCTAGAATTTTTTAATATATCAGCAGTGCGCAAAAAGGTAAAATATTTCTGCTAAGATTGGTGCTAATATACTTATTTTAACACCAGTAAATTTTTCGATTCATTTTGCGTTACGTCATCCAGGGGTTCTGAAAGGAGATTGATATCAATGGTTTGTTTGAGGAGTAGCTCAAGTGTATCAAGAACTGTCTTGAAGACTGGGGGAAAAAATAGTCACATATTAAGAGGTCAAAAAAAACTGAAAAAGGCTTTCCAGAAAACTATTTTTGCCCAAAACTACCTCTAAATGATATTGAGCCAATGTTACTCAAAGTGCGGAAAAGTGCTAAAAATGCAAACCAGAGCTCTAATAAAAATGCTCAAAAGGTGCTCGACTTCATCAGAAATGGCTTTAGCAAGCAAAATAAAGTAGGTACATTTCGCTGATGCCTCACACTCTTTTTATTCTTTCAAGATACACCTGTTTTCTCTAATAGCAGTTACACCGGTAAACCTTAAGGATCTAAAATGTGCTCATCTACAGAACGTTAGCAGGATTTTTTAGGCATCACAAGACCCAGATGATACGCGCCATTACCGGATGTAGATGTTTCCATGAGGGTTGTTGACGTTGGTGAGGTGGTTCAGACTGTTCGTGCCACAAGGATCATGGGTAGGCCAGTTCCCTGTGCGTGTGTTAGACTCGAAATAGTAATACTCCTTTAACCATGAGCTACTTTGAGATCGTATCAGATCCGGTCCCAGAGTAGAACCTGCAGGATTTCCAGCAGCATGAAGAATGAGTTGGTCGGGAACGTAGTTATGACATTTAGATGCCACGTTCTTTATAATGCGGCATAAAACACTTCCAGTTTTGAATTCCACCAGACTTCCGGTTCCTTCTTTACAAGCGATCCAGTGGTTGATGTTGGATTTCACCATGAACTCACTGCCAAGAGACTTCCACAGGTTGAATTCCATGGCGTTGTAGTCAGTCTCACTTACAGGGGGGGTAGTTGATTGGTAGACATTCCCAACGTGATGGGATATAGGCCAGTTGGGACGTGGTGTAATCGCATTTGAACCATGTCTGAATGCCCTTTTGAAAAATTTAAAGATTGTTCAGTAAATGAACAAATA